GCCTTCTACATTAGAGCTGAGCTAAATTAGGTCATTAAAAGGGTTTTCTTCTGATGACGACTTCTGGAGACTTCAATCATTAAACTAGTAAATGTTTTTCTTATATCTTAGTAGCTGAGAATCTGGCCCAGACTGTGACCTAAGTTACCAAAAACGAGCAATGCAAGTCTTTCATCAATGCTCAAAACTCTCTAAAGCTTACATATAGCCAAGAGTGAACAGCATACCCAAACACTTGAAGTTGATAACAATGGTTCTTCATAAATTCTTGGTGGAATTGAATTCTGAATTAAAATCATGACTCTAGCCATGTAAATTTAATTTTGAATTGTTGATTTTGAAAAGAATAGTCAGAACGTAAGCCTATTTTATTGAGGCTGATATTCTCTACTCAGAACAACCCACAACCAGTCCGCACGAGTCTCCCAAAGAGGTTGCAGTTACTGCTCAGTTTTCTTAGGTGAAGATGCAAACACTAATTTTCAATTTCAAGTAATTCTTAGTTGTTACTATATTTCAATTACCAAGATACATGAGCTGTCTTTCTTCCCTGGATAGCTGTATATTTATGTTCTATTGTAGAAGGTGATGATTTGTTTTTCTCATGTTCATGTCTTTGTGCCTATGAGCTGAGCTGCAGTAATGTGATCTGCCTGGCTATGAAGCCTTCAGCATTTCACAAATACAGACTAGCACTGATACTGAGTATCAGCCCAGGTTAAAATAAGCACAGTATTTTTGCCTTCTTCTTGCATAGTGGCTTTCTGGGGAATATTGACTAAAATCAAATACAGTGCATCAGCCTTTTCCATGAAGGTATTCCATACCAGACCAAGCTTTTTATGAACTGCTTAAAAGTCTTTCTTGAAAACTGATTGAGGACTTCACTCCTTTGGTCCAGTTAGGCTCTTCATTACAATGATAAAACCCATCTTATAGTAAAAGAAAATTCAGAGAAATGGTACAAGTCCATGTTGAGAATGAAATTCTGCAGGAAGCAAAGATACCCACAGGTTTCACTAGCATATTTTCCAAATGGCAAGTGTGCTTGACCTTGTCTTGTCTAAACGATTATCAGCATTTGGGTATAATATGTATATTATACACGTATACTGATAATATATATATGCCCAAGGATATCTTTCCCCAAATTAAGAAAATAAAGCGTCCCATCTTATACTGGGA